TTTAACATCGTTTGTACAATTATCCAAGCCATTAAAAGCAACATTAATAATCGAAGAATACCGCGTCTCATTTAATAACTAGTCAAATATCGTTTGTTGCAATCGCTAAAAAGCTAGCGATGGTCACTGGCGTTGAGCTTGTCAAGGACCTGTCCACAGGTGCTTTTCTTGGCGCTTTAAAACGCTTTATCTCCACGCGTGGTCGACCCGCTCGGATATGGTCCGATAATGCGACTAACTTCGTTGGCGCCAAAAATGAATTGACAGAGTTAAAGCGTCTGTTCCTGAGTGTTTAGCATGTACAGGCGGTGCAAGAGTTTTGTTTAGCAGAGTCGATTGACTGGCGATTTATACCTCCTTGTTCACCACAGTAGCTGCCAGTGCAGCTGCAATCGAAGTAAGTTGACCTAGATTCGCCGTGCCGTGGGTGCTTCTCGCTGTGCTGTTGTACGAGACATCGCACTTCTACTTTTGCGCATATTGTTTAAAGGGTCAACTATTTGAGTTGGTGGACTCTTAAATTCGTGCATATCAATTCGGTTTATAGACAAACATAATTGGCCCTGCGCGGCAAAATATACATTACATTACATTTGAAAAGAAATCGTTCTTGTTTTAAATGTCGTGTCTGACGCCCGCTTCAGACAAAACCTATAGACTAAAAAAGGTTCCCGAAAAAGCTCGGTGCCTCAACATTTTGGTGACCCCGACGTGATTTACATTAAAAAATCGGTGACCCTGAAAAGTCATAATTTGTGGCTCAAAACGATATATATTTGGTCTACTAACTAAGCACTAAGGTTTGCAAAGTTATTGTGCATACATACATACATACCGCTGCAGCATCAGTGCAAGTATATGAGTACATAATTGACTGTACAAAGCGCATAGTTTTTGTACATATAAAACGCAAGCAAGCGCCGTTGCTTTGTGCGGTCATTTGCTTTTGCAAATTTTCGCAAATTTTGCTGAATTTTCGGTCCGAACATTTGAAGTGCGTGTTGTTGTTGCTGCCGTTGCCAAACCGAGACTTGTGTTTTCGTTGTGCATTACATTTCATTCGTATTAGAGTACTGCACTAATAATGGATGGTGATGAGTCATCTGTACTGCCGTGTGAGCGTCAGAGTGAACGTGGACCCACTGCTGTGGCTGCGCCTGGAAATCGGGTAGTATTTTTCAAGCGCAAAGCTGAATATCTTTGTGAAAGTCTCAAGGTAATGGAATGCGAATTAAAAGATGACAAAATTGGTTTGTTGAGAGAAGATGAGTTGCTCTATCTTGTAAAACTGCTCGAGAATAAGAAGATTAATTTTAACCGCGCGCTCAGGAGCTTGGAGGCGTTCGGCAAAAAATCCGTGTCTGTAGCTGCCAATCTTGAAATCGTCTTATATTTCGGGCACACATTGCTGAGGTTCTGGGGCTAAAGAAGGTTAATGTTGGTGGGACTGCCAGATTGCGAGAGTTTTCGGAGCAGATCGCCGATTGTGTCATCATCCATACGCTGCTGCAAAGATCGGACAATGCGACTCAGACCAAATGGGAAGAAACTAACACATTTGACACGGTTCCGACGCTACAACAGTTCACATCGTTTCTGGAAAAGCGATGTCAGAAGTTGGAAAATATGGAGCAGGCTATCGGAGTGTACAATTCTGGATCACAAGTGGGAAAGAGTAGCAAAAATACTAACAACAATAGAAGGTCTTTTGTTGCTACTAACCCGAAAGTCTGTGTATTTTGTGATGCCACGGGCCATTCAATACACACCTGCTCCCAATTCCCAAATCTGACGTCAGTTCTGCGCCATAAGGAGGTCAGAAAGCTTTCCCTCTGTCTCAATTGTCTCCAAAAGGGCCATTAATATAGAACCTGCAAGGCTCGATCCTGTAGAGTCTGTGGTGCAAGGCATCACAGCCTTCTGCATTTTGAAGGATCCGTAGCGCACGTGTTTGCATCTGATGCCCAAGCTTCTGATTCCTCTCAGCAAGCAGTAACACAATTGCCAACATCATCGTCATTTCCAAGCGTCATGACTGCCCCATATCCGCATCCGCCCATTTCAGCCCAGAATCTCAGCCCTGATGTTGTGCTTCTCGCCACCGCCGTTGTCAATGTGAGGAGTGTAATAAGCTTGTGCTCATTAATAAAACAAGCTGTTTATAATTTACAAGTTTATTAATTATAAGCATAGTTGTTGTGCGTCTGGTTTATTTGGTGGTTGACGATCAACTCTGATTATTATTATCGTTTCCGATATTATTTTCAAAACTTATTTCATTTGCGTTTAAGTCCTTATGAGTGGTCTTAGCAATAAAACGCCGATTGCGCCTATAATGGCTGTTAAATGTATCCTTAATAATATATGAACGGTCATTTACAACTCCCACAATTTTTCCATAATGCCATTCATTACCATTTTTCTTAAAAATAACCACATCGTCAATATTTAATAAAACTAGTGATTTTGCACTGCGGTCATAATAGTATTTTTGTTTTTCTTTTTTAATTTTTAATTTGTCTTGAATGTCTGTCTCCTTTAAGTTATTCCTAATCAACAGCGAATCCTGGGAGTTTGGTCTTGAGTAGTCTGCCAAAAAATAGTTCTGTTGGTGTTAGTTTCATGCTGGCTATTGGAGTTGTATTATATTCAAGTATTCGATATTGAAAATTCTCTACATCCTTAGCTTCACAACATCTTTTTAATATGTTTTTCGCAATCGCCACACCTTTTTCTGCTAGGCCATTACTTTGTGGATACCTGGGGCTTGAAAATTTTAATTGAACATTACTGTTGCTTGAAAAATCTCTGAACTCAGCTGAGCCAAAGGGACTATTATCACTTTTAATGATAGTTGGGTATCCGATTTTATCAAATATTGATGTTAATACTTTTATTATATGACTCGATGTTTTATTTTGTATTTTTTCCGTTATTAAAAAGCTTGAGTACGAATCAATTAATGCAACATAATCACGATTCGCGTATTCAATCCACCACAGATCCACCGCACTAACGGTTCCTTTTGATTACTTGTATTTCTCCTGAATTGTTCACAAACACTGCACGATTCTATAAGTTCTTTTATTTGTTTGTTCATACCAGGCCAATAATAAAGCATTCTTGCACGTGAGAGTGTTTTCTCTATGCCTAGATGAGGTTCATGCAACCATTGGGAAACTTTGTGTTGCATTTTGGAGGGTATGACAACCCTGTGATTCCAAAACAATAACCCATTTTCAAAGTGTAATTCAGATTTGATAGCGTGAAACTGCTTGCCCAGGTCATCAAGATGATGGTATCCTGGCCACCCGTTAGCCACAAATGAGAAGATACGTTTATATTTTTCATCTTCCTCTAATCCCTTTTCATAAAGATCATAATTATCCTTGGTTACACAAACTGACTTTATAACCGAGTGAATAACCCCTGACAACCCTTCAATCTCAGATATGTCTGGCAATTGAGCACGAGATAAGCAATCTGCCACAAGCATTTCTTTACCTGGCTTATAAACAATAGTCATTTTTGCATATTTCAATAAGTACATAAACATTCGTTGAAGTCGCATGGTAACATCGTTAATATCCTTCTTAACCAATGTCTCTAATGGTTTATGGTCACTCTCAACAGTGAATTCGCGCCCATATAAAAAGAAATGAAACCGCTGGCATGCAAACACAACTGCTAGTAGTTCTTTTTCCAGCTGGCACCATTTTTGCTCACTGCCACTGAGAGTTCGTGAAGCGAACGCCACAGGGTGTCCATTTTGCACTATTACACAGCCCAGTCCGTCTTTGGATGCATCTGTTTGTACAATTACTGGGAGTTTCGGATCATATATAGCCAAAACTGGCTTTTCCGTTACAATGGCTAATAGGTTATTAAATTCTTTTTCATGTTCTGCAGTAAAATTGAAATCCGTATCGTTTTTTGTCAAGTTTCGCAAATTAGCCGATTGCCTTGAGAGATTCGGAATGTATCTGGCTAGATACTTCAGAAGGCCTAAAAATCTCAAAACATCTGATTTATTCTGAGGCTTCCTTATTTTGAGAATTGCATCCCTGTATTTAACCTGCGGCTTTATTTTTTAAATTTTTAAATTTTACGTCATTTATACGTGCCCTCTCCATAATCAACTGGACAATCTGATCATGTTCTTCCTTACTTTCTGCACAGATGGCTAAATCGTCAAAGTATACCATAACTCCTGGTAAATCCCCGAAAATATTGACCATTTTCCGTTGAAACATTTCCGGTGCACAATTCAGACCGAATGGTACACGTTTAAGTCTGAATTTCCCAAAAGGAGTCATAAAGGTTGTCAAATCCGAGCTTGCTTTATCTAATTCCATGTGCCAAAACCCACTGCTTAAGTCAAATACCGAAAAAATCCGTTTACCCACTAATTTTGTTGTTAGGTCATCAATGGTGGGAATGAGGAAATGCTCTCGCTTAATACATAAATTAAGTGGCTTGGGATCAAGACAAATTCGAAGTTTTCCATTTGGTTTTTCAATTATTTGCAAGTTGTTCACCCAATCGGTAGGATATTCCACTTTTGATATAATATCGTTTTCCAGTATTGTGTCTAGTTCTGCTTTTAATTTGTCTGTTAATGAGTTCGGTATCCGTTTCTTATAATGAAGCACTGGCTTAGCATTTTAAGTTAATTGAATTCTTACAGTTCCTGGAAACTTTCCGATTCCGTTAAACACACTCCTATACGTATTTACAAAAGACTCCCTATTTTCATACTGATGTTTAATACTATTTACATCCATTCGTTTCATTAATCCTAACTCTTCACACGTTTCTAACCCTAATATCGGCTCACAGTTATCGGCCACAATTATAACCTTAATCATTTGCTCAATTTCTAGTTTTAAATCATAACATTGTAGCTGTACTGCTCCATATACTTTTATCTTGTTGCCATTATAATCCAAAACCAACATTTCATTCAATTCATAATTAAGCTTACGATTATTTTCCTTTTAAAGTTTTTCAAGTAGATTTCTTTGAATGCAGTTTACATCGGATCCGCTGTCTAGCTTAAATGTAACTATCTGTCCGCCTATCTGATAGTCTTTGGTCCACCTCTTGTGTTTTACTCCGATTGAATTTATTCTAAAAGAATACCCGTTTGATTTTGATTGATTAATAAACCCGTTGCTTTTGTTACCTTGTGAATTATTGCTACTAGAGCCTGCCATACCTCCTTCGTTCTTGTTTTCCTTCTGGCTTGCTGTCTTCACGCCCATGGTTTGAGATTTCTGCTTTCGGCACATCCTTTGGAAATGACACTTTTTTGCACAACGATGACACGTTATGTCCTTTGCTTTGCATTCGTCTTTGTGACCAAATTTCCATGGTCCCCCGCAGTTGAAGCAAACTCTATTAATCGCATTAATTACAGGTCCGTCGTCTTTGATGATATTAACCGACTGGTTTCCTTCCAGTATTCCTTTATGGATAGAGGCTTTGTGCTTTGCAAGTATCAATGACTTTTGACAAATGTTCATCACGCCCGTCCAGAAGTTTCAGTTGTAGTTTTTTGTCATGCACTCCGATGATAATACGGTCACACAGCATTCGGTTTTCGTATGATTTGCCACACTCACATACGAATTCACAATGATGTAGCTGTTCCCGCAAGTTTGTTTCAAATTCCCTAAAAGGTTGACGCTCTTTTTGGGTAATCATGTTGAATTTGTAAGACTCCATTGCATTATTTCGTTGTAGTAGGCAAAATTCATCAAACTTTTTAAGCATGTAATGACGCGTTGCGTAGCGGGCAGCCGCGCGTCATTACGAGTAGTTGTAAGCGAACGAGTATTTTGGTAAAGATTAGGAAGCCACGAAGGCGAGTAATTTTAAGTTCAGCTAGTTTTAGTCTTTTCTTTGGTCTCGCCCAACACGCACTGAAGCGCGGGCAGCATTTTGTTATTTTGATTAATTAAAGACACGTATAGAAGTTTTGGCATACCGCCCTCTTTTTATTCGTTGGACACCTCGGCACTTTGGGGTGCCTAATTTACTAATTTATTTCAGCATACTCTGGCCGGCGAGCATACCCGCGGCAGAGTAACAACGTTACAAGTGGCGCCCGAGCAGGGACCCCAAAGAAGTTTGAGGTTAGATCCGACCAAGTAGGGAAGAGAGCGTGGACCTACGATGCTACGAACGAGCTGGATACGTGTGCTGCGGAAGGAAGAGCTCAGCGCGGTGCTGCGCGAGTTCGAAATCGAGGAGACCGGCACCGTGGAGGCGTTGCGGGTGCGGCTGGCAACGTTCGTGAAGTCGGCCCAAGAAGAGTACCGACCCCGCCTGGAAGAACTAGCGGCATATTACGAGAACATGTCGTCGCGTACCTCGGCGACAGGTCAGTTGAGCCCGGTGCCCGGCGGACGGCTGGGAGTCCCGAAACAAGAGGACGTACCGGAGGGGCTGCTCGTCGTGACAGAGGCAAACACGACACCGCTAACTCCTGCGACAGTGCCGACCATTTCGGTAGCGGTCGCGGCCTCGCCGGGAGCTACCACAACCGAGCCCACGGCAGCCTCAGCGACGCCAACAGTGGCTCCAGTGCTCTCAACGGCGGACCTGACACAAGCGATTGCCAATTTGGTGACAGTTGCGTTGGCACAGTACACCCACCAGTTGGCCCAGGCTATGGAGAATGGTTTCCAGAAGCTGTCGAGCCAGGTCTGCGCTTCCACCGTGTCTGCTGCGCCTGCTGGTAATGCGCCTGACGAAGATGACCCAACAGCACCGATTCCAGCACCGCCGCTCGCGAGCGCGCAGGCGGTGGCAGAACAACAGGCGCCAACATCAGCCGAACGAGACAGACGAGCAGCGTTGTGGACACAGGTAGCCCAGTGGGGCGTCCGATTTGACGGCAGCGGGGACCCAAGAACGTTCCTCCGGGATCTGGAAGATGAGGCAGAGATGAGCAACGTGCGATTAGATGAGTTGGTGACCGTATTACCGGAAGTCCTGGTTGGCGAGGCGAAGGAGTTCTACTGTTGGGACTGTGGTAAGATGGGGGTGCGTGCGAACGAATGCTGCCGACGCGCGACGGGAAACGCCAGGGGGCTCGTCCCACATCAACAGCCGGCGAGTCCACGCAGACAAATTCCAATTAACAACGACACGCAGGTTAGCGGCCGCGCTATTAGTAGACTGTGATGGTTTACTAGTAGAGGCGGTCGTGGACACCGGAGCGACACGCAGCTTCGCGAGTCCGAGGCTGGCACAACGCCTGCGGGCGCCAGACGGAGAAAATGTACGGTCCGTGAGCGTGACTGTGTCCATGGCTGACGGGACACAGAAGACGGTCCGTGAAGAAACGAAGGCAACGGTCACGGTGGGCGACAGTCGCGTAGTACTGCCGCTGCTCACACTCCCCGGATGCATAGATGAGCTCACATTGGGACTGGATTACGTCCAAATGGCCAAAGGGGCGGTGACTGTGGGCGGCCAAACTGTAGAACTGCGAGCGAACGATCAACGGCCACGCAGACGGCGGAGGCGAAATCGCAGAGCCCGACATTCAGCCTTGGTGACAAGCGAGCAGGCGGGGCTCACTATAGCCGCCCACCTAACGGAGCAGCAGACCCAGACGGCAGCCAGGTTCCTCGAGGGGTAACTGGCAAGCTTCGAGAGCATCACAGGAGTCTCGTCGGCAGCGGTGCACACAAACCGGATGAAAGACGAGCGTCCCATCAAGCAGCGGTACTACCCCCGGAATCCGGCCATGCAGGCAGAGATCAATCAAGAAGTCGACGAATTGCTGGCAAAGGGCTGCATCGAGCAATCCGACAGTGCACCCATCGTGTTGGTGCGCAAGAAGACAGGCGCCTGGAGGATGTGCATCGATTATCGGCAGCTGAACGAACGCTCAGAACCAGATGCGTACCCAATTCCGCGGATCCAGCACATTTTGGAGCAGCTGCGCCAGGCCAAATACATAAGTAGCATCGATTTGCGGAATGGGTACTGGAGCGCGAAAGCCAACGATATACAGCGTTCACGGTGCCAGGACGCGGGCTGTTTCAGTGGCGTGTGATGCCGTTCGGCCTGCATTCTGCGCCCGCAACATTCCAGAGGGCGTTGGACAGCGTCATCGGCCTGGACATGGCACCGCACGCGTTTGCATACCTCGACGACATAGTGGTGGTCGGCAGGACGTTCGAGGAACACTTGAGCAACTTGCGCGAGGTGTTCCGGCGACTGCGGGCGGCCAATCTGCGAATAAATCGAGATAAGTGCGAATTCTTTCGTAAATCCATTAGGTACCTGGGGCATCTAGTGACGGAGGCGGGCATCCAAACGGAGAAAGTAGCAGCCATCCACGAGCTGAAGCCGCCATCAAATCTGAAACAATTGCAGCAGTACATTGGAATGGCCTCGTGGTATCGACGCTTCGTACCAAATTTCGCCACAACGGTTGGGCCCCTTACCGAACTGTTGAAGAAGGGCCACAAGTGGAGTTGGGGAAAACAGCAGCAGGAGGCATTCCAGTGTATCCAGAAGCAGCTGATGGAAGCTCCGGTGTTGGCGTGCCCCGATTTCTCTCGACGTTTCTGCCTATAGACGGACGCCAGCGAGTGTGGGCTGGGCGCGGTTCTGACGCAAGACATAGACGGCCACGAACACGTAATTTCCTACGCCAGTAGGAAGCTGCAGAAAGCGGAGGTCAACTACAGCGCCACGGAGAAGGAGTGCCTCGCAATTGTTTGGGAAATCCGAAAGCTGCGACACTATTTGGAAGACTACCATTTCACTGTCGTGACCGATCACTTGGCGTTGCGTTGGCTCAACTCGATGGAGAGCCCCACCGGCCGCATCGCACGCTGGGCTTTGGAGCTACAGCAGTACACCTTCGATGTCCAGTACCGGAAAGGATCCTTGAATGTGGTGGCCGACGCGCTGTCACGACAGCCGCGCGAGGTGGCCGGCCGTGCACACGTGGATCCAGAGGCAGCGCCAACTTGTAAATGGCTACAGCGACTGACGGCAGCGGTGTTGGAGAGCCCCGGCAAATACCCAGATTACGCCATACAGAACGACAGGCTGTACCGCCGCATCGCCAACGTGCCGGGAGAAGATGAGGTGTCACCATGGAAGCTATGCGTGGCCGCGCCTTTACGACAGGAGGTGTTGAGAGAATGCCACGATGACGAAACGGCGGGTCATATGGGAGTACGCCGAACATGTGCGCGCTTTGCAGACCGATACCACTGGCCTGGTCTGTATCGCGACGTCGCGAAGTATGTGCACCAGTGCCTGTTGTGCCAACGCTATAAAGCCCAGCAACAGCTGACGGCAGGCAAGATGCACTTCAAACCAGCGGAGGCAGCGTGGGACGTCGTCAGCGCCGATTTTGTGGGGCCGCTGCCGCGGTCCAAACGAGGCAACGCGTATCTACTGGTCCTGGTCGATAAGTTCAGTAAATGGGCAGAACTGGGCCCCATCCGCAAGGCGACGGCAGCGGCAGTGAAGCTGGCCTTGCGAGAGCGGATTCTGGCACGGTTTGGCACACCAAGAAAGCTCATTACAGACAATGGAGCCCAGTTTACGAGCCGCGCGCTGAAGCAGTTCCTCGCCGAGGCAGGCATACAGCAACAACTGACGGCACCATACACACCTCAGGAGAATCCCACTGAGCGGACCAATAGAACGGTCAAAACATTGATTGCTCAGCTGGCGGACGGGCAGCACAACACGTGGGACGAACAACTGCCGGAAGCACAATTGGCCATTAATACAGCACTTTCAGACGCAACGGGCTACTCACCGGCTTTCATCCTATTTGAGAGAGAACCACGGCATCTACACACACTGTACGGCAGGGATCCTGACGCCCCTGAGGCAGCACCAGGTAGCCCCGAAACACACGCGACGCTGCTACAGTTTGTTGCCCGTATAGAAAGAAGAAACCAAGGGGTGGCCAGCGAGGATCAGGCACGCCAGTACAATCTGCGGAGACGCGAGTGGCGACCCAAACTGGGCGACGAGGTGCTCGTGCGACAACATCACCTGTCCAACGCAGCCGAGCAGTTTGCGGCCAAACTGGCGCCTCGCTTCGATGGAGCATTAACGGTGCGAGCATTCATATCCCCAGTTATAGTGCGTGTGCGACCAGTGGCGGGCGGCAGAGGTAGAACGGCACATGTGCGAGATCTAAAAGCGGTGAACGCAGAAGACAGCGAAGCCGACGAAGGCAGCGACGACAGAGGCAGAGTTAGTATGGTCACCAGGACCACGCCACCGACAGCTTCACAGCAGCCACAGCAGTCCATTGCTCAGCGACCACAACAGCAGCCACATCACCAATCTC